TTCAACCTGCCGAGCCCGATTTCACAACCCTAAACCCTCTTCACGCCGACCTCGAACCATGAACCTCGCCTGGCATGTCCGAGTTGTGAAACCCTAAACCCTCGCCTGCGTTGCCCCGAGTCGCGAGAGTCCAAACCCTAAACCCCAAAAGAAACTCTAAAACCCTAAGCCCCAAAAGAAAACCCTGAACCCTAAACCCCAAAAGAAAACCTTAAATCCCAACCTCCAAAATAAAACCCAAAACCCTAAACCGAGCCAAAGCCCTGGACTACCAGGCTGAGCGGCTCGTTCTCGATCGCCTTCTTCGGAAACAGCTTGGTCGCCATTGCTGCCGGGGAGGTGGGCGTGGAGCTCAGCCACTGGGGTCCTTAGAATCAGGGGCATCTTCTGTAGAAACTTTAGAGGTCCTTAAAGAGTCTTAAAGTTTAAACGCCGCAACAGACATGACGATGGTGGTTTGGCAAGGTGCCCGGTAGTCATGAGGTCAGCAAGCGTAAAAGGCATAGTTGCAGGGCCACTGCTGCTACTTCTGCTGCTGCTGCTGCGGTTGTCTGCGCTGCGACGACGATTGCAGCAGGTGGTACTTCTGCTGACTTACTACTCCCAAAGTTCTCCTGCGAAGTGGTGCTGCTATTCTCCCGCCTAGCTACAACCACACTGCACACCTCCTACGAGCACTGCACTGCTAGCCCTACTACTACTTCCATTACTATGATCATTTATTGTTGTAGCTGCTACGATTATCACCCGTTTGATCTGCCTCGCTGGCAAACCCAGCCTTCTGAAAGGCAAGTCGGATGCTCCGAGAGGCAGAAAGGAGTGGCACAAAATCTCACATTTGGGGTTTAGGGTTTATTTAGGGTTGAGGGTTTAGGGTTTAGGGCCCCGCTACCCCAAACCCAACCTGAACCGCCTCGCCTGGTGCTGTCCGAGGGTGAGAGACCGAACACACTGAGTCCGAAGCTGGTATAGGGGTCGGAAAGCTTGGTAATCTTAGGGGTTTGGTTTCAGGGCTCGCACCACATGAAAATATGCCAATCATCTCCCAATTGCTAGTATGATCATGAAACTAAGGTCCCCAATCTATAATCTATCTGTCTGTCTATCTGCCTATCTGTCTATCTATCTGTTTGTTTTTTTATCTATCTATCTATCTATCTATCTATCTGTATACATAGTCTACATATATACACATAGATTTGCTTGTTTGTTGTTTTGTATTTTGCGCCTTCATTCGAGGTCAGTTCACCGCCGACCTCGTCCCGTTGACCCCCCTGGTGGGCAGCGCTTTGGTATGCCCAATGTTTCGGATCTTCAACTGCAGGTTCAGGGTTGAGTCGTGGATCGTTTTTGGGGGGACTCGGTACTTATCAGGATGGCTGTTTGGTGCTACATTTCGTTCCCCCCCCAACCCCTGAGCCTTCGACATGGCCTTTCTTTGGGTAAACCCGTGCATTCCAAAAACCCTGAAGCCTTAAAGCCGGAAGCTCGGTGCTCGAACCACTCGAAACCCTAACAAGGCATCCATTACGGCGGCTACACCGGGCCTTTCGTTGCCGCAAACTGCTTCCTTGTTGGGCCCTTAGTTCATTCAGGGGCGTTCTGCAAGGAGGTGCGGGGGTGATTTGGGATCGAGAGAGGGCACCTGCCTTGGCGGGGCTGCAACAAGCATCCTACGTGAAACCCTAGCTACCTCTGTAGGAAGGAACGTGCGAGAAGGGGCTTTCAGAAGGTGTGGTGGCTATGTAGGGTCTTTCTAATCATGTGGGGTTGAGGGCTTAGGGTCTCACGCAATCCTAGCCTTTTTTGTAGTGGTCCTCCTACAGGAAGAGCCCACAGCGGTCCATAACCCGGAAGCCCTCAACTTGAGAAACCTCGGAAGGCTACAGTACCCCCCCCCAAATCGTGAGTCTCAATCCGTACCTACTGTATTTCGTGGCTTGAGGCGCTCCGTCTTGGGCTTACGATAACCCAAAACTCCTACTTGGAGGTTCATGGGTAGTTACAAGTGGGGTTATAGGTAAGGTAACTATAGTTATAACCCATATTTTGGGATTTATCACCATACTTATAACTACCCACGAACCTCCAAGTAGGGACCCGAAAGGTCGAATCCCTGCGTCCGGAAGCGTAAGGTCCTCTGCCTGGGATTGATGATCTCCACGTGGTCAGAGAATTTCGGTCAGACCGCGAAGGACCGGAGGTTCTTCAGAGCATGAACTGGTGGTCTTGGGGTGCTTGGAATTTTGTGACTGTAGGTCTTGGGGTCTGGGTTTATATTTTTAGAAGATAAAGAGAAGAGTTTGGATGTAGGGTTGCAGGGTCTCGTTTCAGTCAACCATTGCCAGCCATGGCTCAAGGGACAAACATGCAACAGAACCACATATTCTGTCGTGACAGCTACTTGGGTTTTCTAGTTGGCTAAACCCTAAACCCCAAAACCTAGACCCTAAACCCTAGACCCTAAACTTAAACCCTAAACCCAGCAACTCTAGACCCTGAGCCCTAGAGCCCCAAGCTCAGGCCGTTTCAGCGCGTCTAAAACTGCCAGGAAGCTGCAATGGAGCAGACGAAAGACAAGGGCTTCATGGGTGCTGTGAATCTGCACCTTCACTGAAGTATGTCAGGACAGCTCAGATCACATCAGCCATGTCCGGGCTGTCAAGACTTCTTGGTATTACGGGCCTCCTTTTATGGCCTTCATGCAAAGCATCCGATCATAGGGTCATTGTACCTAGGTATGTAAGTAGGTACGTAAGTATGTATGGCTCTTTCTATCCATCTATCCACCTATCCACCTATCCACCTATCCATCTATCCATCTACCCGTCTATCTATCTATTTATCTATCCATCTATCCATCTATCCACCTATCCATCTATCTATCTATCTATTTTTCCCCTCTATGCACATAAGCACACACACACACATATATATATATACATATATATATATATTACATATGCGATTCTGTGTGTGCGTGTATATATATATATATGTGTGTGTGTTCATACAAATAAATAAATAGATGTGTATATATACATATATACACACACACATGCTGATCCGGGATTTCGGTAATGAGTTACTCAGCCGAAGGGTGCAGTGGTGCAGATGCTGGTATATCGTGTCTCGCAGCTAGCGAGCTGCCATCTCTGTTGTCAGGGTGCTTCTTGCTTACTTCTCATGCAGACTCTATGATCTGCACGCTTTCTGCCTAAACCTTTCGCAAACCAATGTCTAGCACGACCCAGGCGGCAAAAACACAGCACTGAACCCTGAACTCTGCAAGCCCTATAACATAAACCCACTTGTAAGGCTTTTGAACTTCTCTCGAAATTTTGTAAACCTAGATCGAGCGCAGGTGCTAAATAAGCTTCTTGTGAACCCTATAGAGCCAAAATGAAGCCCCTTTGACCAACAAGGGTGATGGCTCAACCGCTGATCTTATGGTGTGGCATCGTCTGTGGCCGGGCCGCAGCAAGTCCAAATGTCACGTGATGTAGGACGAAGGAGGATTTATGGGAAGGGCTTAATGTTCCCTATACCCTAAGCCCTAAACCCTAAACGTTTCGGCTGCGAGTTTGAACATGTGTTGATATCTCAGTCTCTGACACTCCAATGGCAATAAGACAAGATTCTGAAGGTTCATTGTTCGAGTCCTCCATGTTCATCTTCGTCTTCAACTGGACCCCGGTGCTGATGAAGGACGGCTGATCTGCACAATGGTTTTCCGTACTCCGGATGGGGCTTTGGGTCTTTGTTTTTGGGGCCTTGAAGATCCCGTGCAGGAACCCATAAAGGAACCCTCACGCCTTACAGGAGCCCTATAGCCCTTCTTGAAGTTGTCTTCGCCTCGAGGTGGGCGAGCCGGATCCGCCTTTCGGGCACATCTTCGCGGGTTTCATGATCTTCTGCATGCTAGGCCTGCCAAAGACTCAAGCACGTTCTTCTGCGATGTTTCACCAGCGTCATGGCAGCTTCATGTACTATGGTTGATGATATAAATCCTGCATGACCCATAATAAGGAATATACCATAATGCCCATAATTTAGGGTCCTTAAGCTGATGCAGGATTTGTATCATCAACAGTACTTTCTACTGGCTTGAGTGTATGAGTCCGGCTGTGTTGCAGACCCTCCTTTGGGAGCGGTCGTGCAACTGCGTCTGAGAGCTTGCGAGGCAGTCGCCTCTTTTCGATGGCAGTGCACAGCATCCCGAACGAGAGGATTGGCGACTTGGCATGATGTTCTGATTTGGACTGTGGTTTTCTGTACAGAGTTTGTAGACACTTTTCAACAACAGCAACCGCGCCACCGCTGGCTGAGTGGCATGTTGGGGGTTCGATCATACACGAACATTCAATGGCGCTTACTTCGCAGGTGCATCCACTTGCCATGTTAGCGAAATCATCGTCATTCTCTTACCAAGTGCCTGCCTCATCATGTGCTTCGGCTTCTTAAGCGGCTCCCGATTGTGGACTTCGTCCTTATTGTACGACCCGCCTCGATACACCGATTTACTGCGTAGGAGGTTCAAGAAAACCTGAAGCACTAGATTCTTCACTAGATTTCTAGATGCACGCGATGCTGGCAGATCGATGCTTCTCGCGTTGTCCAGGAACCGGTTCCTGGACCTACTCTAGACTGAACCACTTCTACTCCTCCCTTCCGGGAGTTCTTTGTTTCGTGAATTGTGAATGCTTCAAGAGTCGTGCAATCAGTTCCCGAAGCTCTGATGAATCTCAGGGATGTACACCCTTATCGTGGCCGCGCTGTGCCATGGGAGCATCCTCTTCGTCGACTCTGAGTCTATTCACTTGTTTCTTAGCCGAACAGAGGTTCCTAATTACTATTAGGTTTAGGGTTTAGGGTTTAGTGCTGAAGAGAGGTGTTGCTGGTGGTGTTACAACTACCGCTAATGCCACCGCGCACGACGACTGTGCCTCCAGTGCTACTGCCACTTCGCTGCTGCTGCTACTGTTACCCCTGCAATTGCACTGCCACTGCTACTGCTGCCACGACCTCTGCTGCGACCTCTGCTGCGACTACCGTGACGCCGGCTATCAAATTACACCTGCTCCTAGACAGCCACTAGTAAATCTGGTGTGCCGCACAGATGTTTGTTCCAAGGTTGCGGTTGCATTTCTGACTCCTTACTCGCGGAATTCCGAACAGGTCTGTTCAGCGTTTTGGGATCATTTGGGATCTAAGTAAGGGGCGTTAGGCAAGTCTCGAGGTTTGGATGTTGGCGGGTTTCAGGTTTCGGGATATAGAATTCAATTGCAAAGCGGTTGGTGAATGCTTCTGTTCTAGCGGCGACATATGCCGTAGCCGCAGCTGTTTCCGACAGCAACTTCTCACACAAACCTGTCTTCTGATAGTTCTTGTACCTTGATTGCACGACTGCTTCTGTTGGTTGGCTTGCGGTTCTGCTTGTCATGACTGGGCTGACTGATCGTGAGGTGAAGGTCGCCAAGCTCACCATCATGGTTTCATCTATTGTCACATGGAGCTATAGGATGACCCACCAAGGCTAGCATTCTTCATCTTCGAGATGTGCGTGGGCATCTACTTTCCCATGATGGGCACTATGAAGGGCCAGATCGTTCCTGAGCTTTTGCCCAAGCTTCGCTGAGTTTTTTCGTCACGTCGTGGTGGTAGTGGTCAGTAGTAGGAGGAGTCAAGGGTTTCTGCTTCTCACACGTCTGCATGCCGAGCGTATTGCATAGGGGTGTCTTCGTATGTCTTCCGAAATCTGCGTGCTTTTCTGAACATTGAGGTCCAAGCGCAGTACCATCTACAATCTCTATCGCGTTCCCCTGAATGCGATTGTGGTGCTGACGTTGATCCTCAAGCTTGGCGAGGGCATCTCATTCATGGTCCAGCCCCAAGAGACTCTTCACAGTGTCACAGTCACAAGAGTTCATTAGAACTATTATGACGATGTTGCTGGTATTGCTGTTCTTTTTCTTCTTTTTCATTCGTATTATTCTTCTTATCACTACTGTTCTCACTATGACCATTCGTATTACTATAGACATTCTCCTCATCATTCGTTGTGCCGGGCGGAGGCTGTAGGAAATGTCTGGAGCGTCAAGGAGCCTATCGCTCGGCTGTTAAGCGATTTCCAGAGTTCTAAGACCTTATTTCCCACGCCCTAACTTAGGGTTTGGGGTCTGGGGTTTAGGGCCTAGGGTTTCAGAGAGACCCCGTTCAAAAGGGTTTAGGGCCTAGGGTTTAGTTTAGAGACTTGTTGCTGGAATCCGTGCCTG